ATAGTATATAAAATTTTAAAAAGATAAGGTTCTCCTCCCCCTTACCTAGATAAGTAGGAGTTGAAACTAGTGCAATATCTCTCTAAAAACTTGGGCAGAATCTCTTCCTCTTTCTCCTTAAACAAGGCACTAGAGCAGAACCTCCTTTTCTTTCTCCTTCTCTCTCTCTTACTTTCTCTCTCTATTTCTCCAGAATTTCCTTCTTTCTAGAATTCTGAATTTTCAAAACCTTATGCCCCTATTTATAGAAATTTTGAAGTTACTATGCACTATGCACTATTCATTAAAATAATATTATAAGTTACTATGCACTATTTATTATTATAATATTATAAATTACTATTCATTAAAAAATAATATAATAATTTGAAACAAACGTAAGTGCTTACGTTCTTGTTTTGGAAATTACTATTCATTAAAATAATAATATATTTACTATTCATAAATACGTAAATACGTATATGTGAATAGTAAAATACGTATATATAAATAGTAAAATATGTATATAAAAATATGATAAACTTTCTAATAATCTCAATAAATATTTAAAATCAAAATAACTTGTTTTATTTAATAAAATTTGGGATATTACATAGAAACTAAAGGCAAATTTTAGTTTTGTGATGAGTTATGTTATATTTATGGGATTTTTCTTTATTTAAACTTAAATTTTGAATAACTTTTAGATAGAATATTTGTTACTGTAACAATTTTGTATTTTATATTTTGTTTTTAGTTAGTCAATGTAATTTCAACAAATAAGGTTGTTAATAGATGATATTTGTTAAAAAAATTTAAATTGATTGTAAGTTTATACATAGTTATAATCTTTTATGAATTCTAATGGCAATTTTAATAACAATTTATCATCTTCAATTTTAATTTCAATTTACCAACAAGATCCAATTTTTCTATATTTTTCATAAAATATCTTTAGCAATAGTATCAAGAGCTTACTTTCTACAAGTTGTGGGGAAGAATTTTATTAAGCACTAAACATGGTGAGATTGAGTGCAAATACTAAATTGAGTAATTTTTTGTCCAAGCAATTGTGGTGCAAATATATCTACTTCCACCAATTTACTTGTAATTTCAATGTTTAATGATTAAAATTATCATATCTGGGTCGTCAATATAAATTTTTTTTAAGGTCTCGAGATTTATAAAACATTGTAATCTATAAAGCTCATTCACCACCATTGAGAGAAAATTTCAACCATTGCACAAATATAAACTTATGAGGAGGAGAAGTTGAAGAAATATAAAGTCATCACTTGCCTACATGTAGGGCTTGTAGATCATATTTTTACTAAAATCATCGACTTGAAAACACCTAAACAAGCCTAAGAAAAGATCGAAGATGAATTTGAAGACAATAACAAAGTCAAGCTTGTTAGGCTTCTCAAATTGAAGAGAGATTTTGATTTGATGAAGATGAAGGATAATTAATCTACCAAAGATTATTCTAAAAGGTTAATGGATGTTATAAACCAAATGCAACTTTTTAGTGAAGCACCAATTATAGATTAGAAGTTCATCGAAAATATCATGGTTTTAGTGTCTGGAAGATTTGAAGCCAAGATTTCCACAATTGAAGAGTCACTGTGATTTGCAAACTCTCACAATTACTGAATTGACCAACAATCTTCATGCATAAGAGCAAAGAGTCTCGATTAAAAGTGGTGAAGTTGTTAAAGGTGCATTTCAAGTAAAGAAAATGGAAGAAATTTTGGAAAGTCGTGATCTTTCAATAACAAAGGGAAAGTTGAAGGTTCTTCGAGAAAAGAAATTTTTTTGCCTTGTTCTCTTTGTCAAAGAATCAATCACGTTGAAGAAGATTTTCATAGTAATTTTTGCAATAAAAATGATCATCACGAAAAGTATTGTAAATTGAAAAAGAATAAATATGAACAATTAGAAGAACAAGCAAATGTGATTGAAGAAAAAAATAATGATGGAGATGAGCATTTATTTATGGCATCTGAAGTACTCAATTCACATGAATTGAATACTTTGCTCATTGGCAATGATTGCACCAGTCACATGACTAAATGTTTATCATTTTTTACCTCCATTGACAAATCAATTGAATCAAAAGTAAAGATGGGAAATGGTGAAATTGTGCTAGTCAAAGGAAATTGAAGATCCATTTTTTTTTATATATTTTTCACAAAATATTTTTAGCAAGTTAAAATAAAATATCCAAAATTAACAATAAATTTTTTTTATATATAAAATAGGGTTATAATTCTTCTTTCACATATATCATCATTCTTATTTGTTTAAATCTCATGATTGAAAGAAGTTGAGGAAAAATTAAAAATTTTTCTCAAAAGAATATGTGTAGATATATGGAAGATTAAGTTTCCTTTTCTGTGCATTTGAACAATATAAATTCAAGCACCTTATGTTTTTTTATTTTTTTTTTCTTCTTCTATCAATTAACAAAATTTGAAATTTTCTGAAACATGTGGCACAATCGGAATGCTCTGCATTGGAGCAACACTCCTTGGAACCAGAACAAGTCCTCCATGCTTCAAGATTGGGCCACTGCCAATAGAGTTGTTCCTTTTCAGCACCCTAACCTTCCATCTAGGCAGCGCTGGTCTCCTCCTCCCCAAGGGTTGCTCAAGTGCAACATTGCCATTCACTATTTTCTAGTGGAAGGGCTTACGGGAACTAACATTTGCATTAGAGACTATTAAGGTGCCTTTATTAGAGCTCATTCAACCACGATGAAAGGTTGTATGGAGTCTCACGTTGGCAAAGCTTTTCCTTTTCTTCATGGCCATCAATTGGATCTGTACTATCTGTACCGCGAAGCCGAGCTCAAGCTCGGCACCACAGCGCAAATTGACATCGGATATGCGCTACACGACATCGGCCAAGACAAAGGCCCATTATCTGAACAGGTCACAACCGATCTCACCGTATGTGCTTTATATATAGATGCTTTCTTATGTGCTTTATATAGATGCTTTCTTTTCTCACCATATAATTTATGGATGTTTTAGGTGACAAAGATCTGGCTTTGAGTGGCATCTAGGATGCCAACAGTTGAATTGTGGGTGTGCTTTGTTATTGTGGCATCGGGGCAGAAAATTCTAGGATATGAAATTTTTATATGGATTTAGAGTTGTATTTATTATTTTTAAAAATAATTTGTAAACTCTTACGTTTTATTTTCTAATGTTCATTTTTCAATCATTTTGGATATTGAAGAACATTTGTGAAGGTTTTTATGTGAACACATTTACCAACTTTGAAAGTTTATTTTCCTTAATTTAATTACATTATTACGATATATGTGCTGAGGTAGTAATGGTGTCACAACAACAAAACAGACTCTTAGTGGCATTTAATATGACTTTTAGTAGCAATAAAAATTGTTGCAAAGTATAATACTCTTTAATTGCTTGTAAGATGAGTACAAATACTCTTTAGTTACCTTATCTCTAGACTTATAAGATGAAGGTTATCCTCTACTTATATATTCTTTAATTTTCTCTAATCGATGTTGGACTTATATGATGAGGATTATCCTCTACTTATATATTCTTTAATTTCATTATTTTTTAATCGTCTTATCTCCTAATTAATTATTTTATCTATAATTGATGTAGGATTTGGATTTTATACCAACTTAGAATAGTAAGTTATAGGTCTAACTCAACTCTACAAAATAAACTTGTACGGTGAGAGTTATCATTCACTTATATACTTTTTAATTATCTTATCTCTAGTTTATGTGGGACTTAAGTTTTTTTGAATAAATAATTATCGCTAATAATAAATTTTGGAGTGATGTAAATACATTTTTAGCGGCCATTATATATTAATCATTAATATTTTTATTAGATAATAAAATAAATATAACTAATTTATTATTGTTAAACAATTATCGATAATAATAAATCTTGTTGTAGAACTCATTTGTGAAGATTAATAATAATAGTCTTTAATTAGTAATAAAAAGTCATTAATTATAAAATATTTATAATAGAATTAATACAACAATTAATAAAGCCATTTAATAATGAATGTAATCATTTATAACTTCTAAAAATAATAATAATAAGAAAATACTCTTAAAAACATAAACGATACCTAATATCTTTAAATAAAAGAGAAAATATAATTATGTTTATAATAAAAAGTATCAAAATATATAATGATTAAAATATAATAAATCTTCGACATATATAAAATACGAATAATTATTTCATGCAAGAACAATTTTTGAAATTTTTTTTATTATAATTATATATAAATCAAATTTTAATATTTAAATAAATCATCAAAAATAAAAATAATTTTATCTTATATAATATAAATTATTTATTATAAATCTAAAATATAATTTATATATTTAAAATATCTATTTTTCAAATATTAAATATAATTTATATATTTAAACATATTATTTATTTATTTAAATATTTCTTTTTAATTTTTAATAATATATAATAAATATTTAACTTATAGATTGCTAGCCTAAACTATTAGTATACATTAAAAAATAAAATTATGAAAAAGTGAGGAGGGAGAACAAGACCCCAATATGCTATGTATCTCTCTCTCTGAGTATCATTAAAGAGACAAAACTAGTTAAAATATGTTTATATTAAAGAGTAAATATGTGTTTTTCTTTTGTTGTTTATAATTGAGAATAGAATGAATACCTAATTTTACCTTAAAAAAATTACACTAATAATTCTTATATTATTATATCTAAATCAAAATATCATTACTGTGAGGAGAATTGAATTCAAATTTCTTAAGTAAGATGTCGAATTTAATCTTCTAAATAAAAAATAATTATAAGATAAGTAAGACCTTATTAGAGATGCTCAACAAAATTTTTTATAACATAGATTAAAATTGTTATAATATGTAAATTTTGTCCTCACCAATAAGAAAAAAATTAATGAGGAATCAATATTTAGTAATTAAGGAATAGATAGTATATAACCAAAGAGAGTATTAAAAGTTGTGAGCAAATTAATTATTTATACAACCAAGAAATGCATGTCATCAGTTAAATGAAGATATTAGATGGCAAATTTTCAATCCACCCTTCTTTGTCAATATAAGAGATATTTAGGAATTCATCAAGTGCGGGTCCACTTAAGTGCTTCATCCATTGCACACGTTTGGATTTATCTGCTCCAGGTCCACTATTTCCCTCCTCCACAAATGTGATGGTTTCTCTGTAATTAAATTTATTTTCACACAAATGCATAAAATTATGTTAACTACTGAGCTATTTTATCAAAAGTATGAGATAAATTTAGGTAAAAAGAAAAACCTAGTTTAGACTCCTCTAAAGTAAAAGAAGTATAACTTACAAGATAATGTATAGTTATTACTAATTATTGTTGAAATTATAAGTTTATTATACATAGACATGTATTATATTATATTATAATCTCAACCATTTTTTTTTAAACTAAACGACTTTATCTTCTATAATAGATCATTTTTAAGAGATAAATCTGAACTAAAAAAATAACCCAAGTTTAATGTAGAATATGAATATCTTACTCATGGCCAACAAAGTTACGAGCATTCCAACCTTCAGGTGTTACTACATCTGATAGGAATGAGTTTGCTATGATGACTCTAGCATAAGCCCTTAAAGATCTTCCTAGTAGAGTTTTTCCTCCTATCCCTGTAATGTTACAATTTTTAAAGACAAAGCCACTAGTATCGTCTGGTGACTCCCTTTCTTGTGCTGTAATAGCCCCAACAACTTGCATGGGACCATCTTTTCCCATTGAAAAATATATTTCACTTGCCTATTTTTCATTAAAAATTATATTATTAAATGTATTGCGAAATTATTCAAAGAATATAAAATGAGGTTTTTTTTTTTTTATTTTACCTCAAAAATTGATTGACCATTTCCAAATATGAAATCAATCCCACCTTGAATATAGCAATTATAGTAATAATGACGACCATATTGATCATATAAGGTATCTTGTACTCCTAAAAAGGAACAATTATAGAAAGCACATTTATCTGCATAGATTCGAGCAGCTATAGCTTGCGTGATTCCCATTTCGCCAAATATGGGATTGTTGAATGTATTCTGAGAACATAAAATTATAAAATAATTATATTTTTATTTAATATAATTAATTGTCATATTCCACCACATATCTCATAGTGAGTATTTAATTAAATTACACTTTTATTTCTCTTATTACCTTCAATATGTAATTTTGATCTCTTTATTTTTAATTATAAAATTTTAGTATCTTAATTTTAAAACTCTAGTCATAATGTGAATAAATCATGTGGTGTTGACGTAACAATGAAATATAAGAATTAAGAAAAAAACATTAAAAAATTATTCATATTAAGACTTAGAATCCATGCCTTTTGCTTCAATTTTCATCATTTAAACCACTAAATCACTTAAATTCTATTTTTTTATCTAATTTTAATCTATTATAAAAATAATAAATAATAATTTGTTTAATAAAATTTAGCAAATTGATTTTATAATTTATAATTTACTATATTCTTATTTTTATAAAATAATATAATATTAGTATATATATTATTTAAAATATTAATTTATTTTACGTTTTATATTTATATTTATTGGATAAAAATATATTACATAATCAATTATATAATTAATTTTCTAAAACATTAATTATTTTATTATATAAATTTATTAGAATGAATAGAAAATTTGATATTTATTGACGAAAAACATATTAAATATATAAAATAAATAATATTAGTATATATATTATTTAATATATTTTCATACAGTATATAACTTCACTCGTCTACATCATTACCACATCACCAATTAATGGTATCAATTGAAGGCCAAAAATTGTTTAATTTGAAATTTTGAAAGTTCAAAATTTTATAATTAAAAATAGAGGAATTAAAATGACATATGAAAGATAAGGAACCATATTTTTAAAATAAATATTCATTTAAATTTTTTACACAAACAAAGAAAATAATAATTTTATAAAATTAATCATATTATTAATCTTTTTATTTGAAATGGTATAACACAATAAATTTTTGAAACATATTATTAGAAGTATAAATAAAAATAAGGTAATTAATATTGTATTAAAAAGTTAAAATAACATTTATTTTAAGACTTATTATATAAGACAGGTAATAAATAAATAAAAAAAACTTGAAAATAATGATACCGTAAAAGTAATGCCAGATGCAACAGTATAATTTGCTTGTGAAAAGAAAGTAGCATCCGGATGGTCATCCCATTCAATAGTCGTGAATTGAGTACCAGCTCCTTCTAGGTAAATGCAAGGTTTCTTCATCGGAATTACCACCTGTTCTCTGGATTCACCAAGTACATAATCTATAAGTTTATTAATGCAAAATAAAATGCTCAATACTTCTTTTAAATTTATATAAACAAAAAATTAAATTTTTTTAACTAAAATATAAGCAAATTAATTTCAATCAAGTCAATGTTATTTAATACTCTTAAACCAAAAATATCCTAAGATAATAAATAGAAATACTATCTGTTACAAGTGTAGTTAAGAATATTTTAATAAATATAATTATATTTCATGTAAAATTATAAAAATTAAATATATTTAATTATCTTTAATCTATGTGATATTGTCTATTTTTCTTATATATACATCCACATGAAATATCAAACAATTCATATTAAATTGAACGCACACTAGAAGAAATATAATATATATATATATATGGAGGTTATAATTATACTAGTATAATTTTTACTAAGTGTTATACTGCTCAATAACTTTATATTAAATGTGAATTTTGTAAATCTAACCGTTAGATTGAAAGTTCATATCTCTTAGATCATATATACAAAATTTTATATTAATTCAAGATGATTTGATACTTCATTTTTATAAAACAAAATTGACGTAATATATTCATTTCAAAATACACTAAAATATGAACACTTTGATTACCTTCAAGTTGTTGTTCAATTTTAACAAAATTTGATATATACGTATAAAGTGATATGAACTTTCAATCTAACGATTGGATTTACAAAATTCATAATTAATATAAAGTTATTGAACAGTGTAATACTTAGTAAAAATTACATTAGTATAATTATAACCCCCCTTATATATATATATATATAT